TATAGAGTGCTTTATTCCTAATGCATTTTTTAATAACTACACTGGATATGTTTCAACATCATAGATTTAGAAACTATAGTCATTTCGCACAAGGCAGAAGATTAGCTAGTCATGGCATGGCAGTGTACCTGTGAACAGTTTTAACATTTCATGAAACAGATATTCGATTTCGCTGTTATTGGAATGACTAAATAAACATAGAGCGACGACAAATACCGCTAGTCATATTCTAGAGTGATACTGAATGTTATCGTTATTGTTGCCTGTATATTAGCTAGTTAATTGGTACTAACCGCTTTAATTTAATCAAAACGGTAATCAGTAGCATTGCCGACTGTTAGCTTCCTGAGACAGCCCTCAAACTCTTGTACTGTAACTACAGAATTTTATATTTATTACAGGATTTATACGCAAAAGTAAAACTGGTGTAAGTATGGATGTAGAAAGTGATCATGTAAGAAATATCAGGGAAAGACTTCGATGATTCATTACTTTGAAAGTTAGCAAGTATGATTTCAACGTATTTCGTATAAAAAATAATCTGTTAACTTACAATATTAAATATGCCATTCAATACATCCACACTTTTCGCAAACGGTGATTAAAAAGGCCAAACTTCAGTGACGGATGTCCCAATTCTCCACAAAAGTATAGAGCAAGTGAAGGTCAACCCGCGATATATAACACACGCAGGCACTTGGCAAGCTGTAGGAATCAACGTAGAATCCTTCCTCAGGAGCCCAGGACAAGAGGTTGTGGACGACGTGTTTCTGGATGCAGCGGGACGTCACCAGAGTGGGTAGGAGGTCGCATGACGTCTCCTCCCTGGCACATTCCTCTATTGATGTCGTCTGGAAGGAAGGGGAGTGTGACAAAGGCATTCATCATGTACATTCTCTAGTTTTTGATTCGTGTTCTTTGAAGAGTCGCATGTGCAAGGTAAACAAAGGTGTGTGGTTTTCTTTTTCACTTTTCCTCTCGCTTCTCTCTCTCTCTTTTCTCTCTCCTCTCTCTCATCTCTCTCTCTCTCTTCTCTTCTCCTCTTCTCTCTCTCTCTCTCTCTCTCTCATCCCCTCTTCTCCTTCTCGCTCCTCTCGCTCTTCTCTCTCGCTCATCTTCTCTCGTCTCACAGCTTCTTCATACTCTCGCTTCGACACGCTGCCTCCTCTCTCTCCCCTCCTTCTCTTCTCGCTCTCGCTCTTGCTTTTCTCGCTCTCCGCGTCTCAGCCTCTCTCTCTCAAACCCTCTGCTTCTCACTAATTCTCGCTCTCTCTCTTTCTCCTCTCTCTCCCCTCTTTCTCTTTCTACTCTCCGTCTTCCCCTCTCTCTATTGTTCCTTCTCTCTTCTCTCTCCTCTCTCACCTCCCTCTCTCACCTCTCTCCTCACCTTTCTCTCTCTCAGCTTCTCTCTTTTCTCATGCAACCCTCTCATCTCTTCCTCTCCACTCTCTTCTCACCCCACACTCTCTCTCTCTCTGTGTCCTCCTCTCCCCACTCTTTCTCTCTCCTCTCTTCTCTCTCCCTCTCTCTTCTTCTCTCTCTCTCTCTCTCTCTCTCTCTCTCTCTCTCTCTTCTCTCTGCTCTCTCCTCCTCTCTCACAAAAAACACTTCTCTCCTCTCTCTCTCTCTCTCACCCAACTCTCTCTCGTCAACCCACTCTCCTCTTCTTCACCCACTCTCTCTCCTACCTTCTCTCTTTCTTCTCTTCTCTCTGCGGTCTCTCTCTTCTTTCTCTCTCTTCCTCCTTCTTCTCCTCTCCTCTCTCTCTCTTCTCTCTCTCTCACCCCACTCTCTCTCTTCCTCCTCTCACCCACTCTCTCCTCTCTCTCTCTCTCTCTCTCTTCTCATCTCTCTCTCTCTCTCGACTCTTCTTCTCCTCTCTCTCTCTTCCTCTCTCTCTCTCTCTCTCTCTTCTCTCAAACCCACTCTCTCTTCTCTCTCTCCACCACTCTACTTCTCTCACCCCACCTCTCTCTCTCTCTCACCCCCACTCTCCTCTCTCTCTCCTTTCCTCTCCTCACCCGACTCTCTCTTTCTTCTCTCTCACCCCACTCTCTCTCTCATCTCTCACCACTCCTCTCCTCTCTCTCTCACCCCACTCTCTCTCCACCACTCTCTTCACTCTTCCCTCCCTCAATTGCGAACCTTCTTCTCCCTCACTTTCTCCCCCTACTCTCCCACTCTCCCACGCAAGCACCTGGCGAAGTGAAGGATTCCCGTCCACGTTCACAATGAGTCGCCAATTCCCTCTCGTGTTCCTCGCCATTGACAGTCGCTTCCCGTGTGCTTGGCTGGGTCGTGACAGCTCCACCCTTCTCCTCCTTCCTTTTTGTTAAACCAACGTCTCCCTCCGTGTCCTCCTCCTTCTTCCTCTTCTTCCATCCTTCCTCGTTTTATGGATTTTATTTTCGTCTCTCCCTTTCTTGACTTCCTGTGTCTGCTGTTCCTTGGGAGTGTGGGTGGCGCGGCCGTAAACTTGGAGTTGGGGCTGTGGTTGGGTTGTGCAGTCGAAAAAGGAAATGGAATTAATTTGAGAATTAATACCATGTGGCGGGATAATATTGACTGGCATGGACCGCGCCGGGGAATCAGTCTTCTATAAGTTATCTTTCTTAAAAATAAATAAAATGAATAAATAAAAATAAAGTCGAAGCCAAGAAACGTCTTTAGGTTCTTGCCAGTTTGTCTTCGAAGCAAATGATGCTATAAATTGCCAGCTAGAAAATCATGCTCCTGTACATGTCTGTGATCTAAAGAAATTATTTTGAAGAAAAAAACTGACTTCAAATTATCCAACTAACATAAACCTTATGTATCTTTATAACCCAGATAGGTTTTCTTCTTTCAATTTTTGACAATAGTATTAACATTGTGGTAAGTAAAAATAAAGGTTTTTGTATGACACAAATCAAATTCATAAACTAGAGGAAATAGTGTGCGTCTTTACATACGTGAGTGTTTTTCGGTTGAGTATATAAGCAGGCGGACTGTGTTGTGTGTGGTTGTGTGTGTGTGTGTGTGTGTGTGTGTGTGATGTGTTGTGACTGTGTGTGTGTGTGATGTGTGTGTCGTGTGTGTGTGATGTGTGTGTGAACAGTGTGTTGTTGGTGTGTGTGTTGTGTGCGTGCGTCATCGCGGCGGTGCGAGTGCTGTACGTGCCGGGCATAAAGTGCATGTTGCGTTTGTATGTATGTTTGTATTTATGGTTTATATAGTGCCGGTTGCCATCGCTGGTGAGTAATCTGTACGTGCATGCGGAGCGGGTAGCAGTGTCGTGAATTGTGTACACCGTGTTGTAGCTATTATAATATGTAGTGCCGCCGTCGTTGCATGGTTATGATATGCACCACGATCTACACAGGAGTGGTGGGGTCGACAGGAGTCTGGGTGTCCGTAGCGGGGCGTGGTTGTTCCCGCGTGGTTGGTTATTATTTCTACAAGTTATCCACGAAGTCACTAGTCACCCTCCTGCTGGCCGCCCTCCGAGGGGTCGCCCACAATCGGCAAGGAAGAATCCCCGCGTAATTGGAGACAGTTCCTCTGCTAATGAAGGCGCTTGTGGAATTAAATTAGTATAAAATAAATTATAAAAATTTGAGATATAAATTATAATAAATAAATTATTAATAAAGTGAAATAAAGACGAGGACAGAGAGAGAGAGAGAGAGAGAGAGGAGAAGACTGAGGAGAAGAGAATGAAGACGAGATGACGAGAGAGAGAAGAGGAGAGAGGAGACGAGAGCGAGAGAGAGAGAGAGAGAGAGAGAGAGAGAGAGAGAGAGAGAGCTGAGAACGAGAGCGAGAGAAGAGAGAGAGAGAGAAGAGAGAGATGAGAGAGGATAGAGAGAGAGCAAGAGAGGAGAGATGGAGAAGAGATGAGAGAGAGAGAGAGAGAATACAGATAGAGAGCGAGACAGACAGACAGACAAACAAACAACTGAGAAAGAGGAGAAAAACAAAGAGAAAAAAAGTAAAGAAAGAGATAACGACAGAAAGAGACCAGAAAAAGGAGAGAAATAAAACGCAAAAAAGAAAGAAAACAAACCGAACTGAGTCAAGCTGTGAAATGCAACATGAAGGAACAACACGGGCTTAAGTAACAGCATAAACAAACACACTCACGAACGCTGATCCTCGCCTTGTCAGACAGCGAAGGGGACGAGAGAGAGAGAGAGAGAGAGAAAGAGAGATAGAGAGAGAGACAGAGAGAGAGAGAGAGAGAGAGAGAGAGAGAGAGAGATGAGAGAGGGGAGAGAGAGAAGACATAGAGAGAAGGGGAAGGAGAGAGAGAGAGAGAGAGAAAAAGTGTGTGTAGAGGACAGGAGAGAGAGAAGAGAGAGAAGAGAGAGAAAAGAAGAGGGAAAGGGAAGAGAGAGAGAGAGAGAGAGAGAGAGAGAGAGAGGAGAGAGCGGAGCATAATGGGTTTGCGAAAGAAGTGGGAAAGGAAAATGGAAGAGGGAATATGAGGAGAAGGACGAGGATAGAAATGATAAAAAAAGAAACTATAAAAAAAGAAAAATACAAACAGATAAATAGAAAAGAAAATGGAAGAGAGAATAAGAGGGAAGGGAGTAATAGAATGATAAAAAAAACAATAAAAAGGAAATGCAAACAGATAAATAAGAAGAAAATGGAAGCGGATATAGAAAGGATGAGTTATAGAATGATAAAAAAGAAACAATAAAAAACAGACAAATAGAAAAGAAAATGGATTAGAGAATAAGAGGAGAAAGACGAGGTATAGAATGAAACAATAAAACAAAAAACAAACAAACAGACAAAACAGAAAATCATAGAGGTAAAAAGAGAGAAAAAATAAACAGAAATCATAGGGTTAAAAAGAGAGAACAAACAAACTAACTAAAAGCTAAAAACGGAGCCGGCCAGATATATCTCACCTCGGGTAAGCCTCGTCCAAGAGACAATAGGAGCGGTTGGTGTCCCTGGCGCAAGAGGGCACGTAGGACGCCTTCAGGAAACCCGGTTGAGGACCTGAGCTGCGGCGGCCGTGGGATGCGACGTCAGCTGGCTCGAGCGTCCCGGGGCGGCTGAGGGTGAGGGGAGGAGGGGTGAAAGGGTTATCATAGGAGAGGGGGGGCAGGGAGAGAGAGGGAAGGGGTAGGGTAGAGAGGGTTATCACAGGAGAGGGGGGAGGGAGAGAGAGGGAAGGGGTAGGAGAGAGGGTTATCATAGGAGAGAGGGAGGGAAGGAGAGGAGAGAAGGAGAGAGAGGAAGTGAGAAAGAGATGGGAGGGGAGGAGAGAGGGAGAGGGAAGGTGAGAAAGAGAGAGGGGAGGGAGGCGGAGAAAGGAGGGAGGGAGGGGAGAGAGAGAGAGAGAGGTGGAGAGCAAGAGAGAGGAGGGGAAGAAAAGAGAAAGGGTGGGAAGAGAGAGAGCAGACAGACAGACAGATAGAGCGAGACAGAGATACAGAGAGGGGGAAGGAGAGACAGAAAAAAAAAAAGGGAAAAACGAGCATAAAATCTTTTTTTCAGAATGAATCATTCTTTCCCCGAAAAAGTAGTGTCAAGACGCGTGATAAATATAAATCCTGCGGTGACAGAAAAAAAAGAATAAGAAAAATAAGAAAGAAAGAAAAAAAAAAACATATACACAAAAAAAGAATAACTTAAAACACATTAATCTCCTTCACCTTCAGCACCTCAAAGTTCTCACAAAAAAAAAGAAAAAAAGAAAAAAAGAAAAAAGAAATAACTAACGCCTTTTTGGCTCTTCCTGGGAACTTGCGCCTGCTTTTGCTGCGATTCCTCTCCTTCAGTTTCTGGTAGAACTTCCCCCGTTTTTCTGCTCTCGCCGCCACGCTAACTCGATCGTCTGCCGCCACTTTCTCTGCCGCCGCGACCCAGCCTGCTGCTCCGGATCCCCCTGCTGTCAGTTTCCCTGCTACGGCTTCTCTTCCTGCTGGAGTTCCCTCTGCTGCCTCGCCTCTCCTCGCTGAGATGGCAGAGCCGGACGCGCTTGGGAATCCGACGGGTTCTGAGGGGAGACTTCTCTGAAAGAAAAGGGGATGAGTCAGTCTGCGTTGTGTGTGTGTATGTGTGTGTGTGTGCGTGTGTGTGTGTGTGTGTGTGTGTGTGTGTGTGTGTGTGTGTGTGTGTGTGTGTGTGTGTGTGTGTGTGTGTGTGTGTGTGTGTGTATGTGTATGTAAGAATGTATGCAAGTATGCGTCTGTACACATATGCATACACATCTACGTACGCACGTTTGTATGTCCTTAAAACCAGATGTTTGTATGTAAGGATGGACGAATGATACTGCAAATGAAAAGTTAAAAGAGGAAAGGCAAGAAGAAGAAAGGAGAAAAAAATGCTGCAAGTGACCAACAGAATAAGAAGAGCAGATGAAAGATGGAATAAAGGGAGAAAGAAACGGAAGGAAATAATGCAGGAGAGAGATCAGAACAGAAGTAACGCAGACGGGGTCAACTTGCCAGGGGCGCGGGCGAGAAGGGGCGCTGGGGGCCGCCCAACACAAAGGCCGCGTAGCTTCTCGGGGCGTCATGGCTCCCGTGGGCGGGTCGTGGGCGGGAAGGACCTGTGGGGAGTCACTGGGTATGAGGATGGGCGTGGGGTATGGAGTGGGCACTGTGGAAGCGAACAATAAACTGATGATTGAAATGTATATACTTTTTTTGTGGTTTTCTGTGTGTGTGTGAGTGAGTGTGTGTTGTGTGTGTATGTGTTTGTGTGTTTGTTTGTGTGTGTGTGTTGTGTGTGTGTGTGTGTGTGTGTGCTGTGTGTGTTTGTGTGTGTTGTGTTGCATGCGTGTGTGTGTGTTTGTGTATGTGAGTGTCGTGTTGTGTGTGTACGTGTGTGTGTGTGTGAGCACGGTTGCGCGGGTGTTCGTGTATCTATACGCATACATACAGTACCTTCCACACACACACACACACGCACACACATACGCACACCAGAGACAGCAGACAAGGCGAGAGAAGTCGAGAACACGATCTCTCACCGACGGGAAAGTGACTCACAATCGGACTTGGAAGATGACGTACGCGAAGGCATCAACACAATGAAATATAAACTTGTCGTCTTGTTTTCTGTCTCCTCTCGATAGCTCGTTGTACTGCAGGCTCTGCTTCGTTGCGCGCGAATGCACCGGGGTTGTTTTCGTCGTTTTTGTTGTTTTGTTATTGTTGTTGTGGTGTTGCTGTTGTCTTGTTGTTTTGTTGTTGTTGTTAGTTCTCTTATTATTGTTATGCGCACACACACACACACACACACACACACACACACACACACACACACACACACACACACACACACACACACACATAATATATATATATATATATATATATATATTATATATATATATATATATATATATATATATATATATATGTGTGTGTGTGTGTGTGTGTGTGTGTGTGTGTGTGTGTGTGTGTGTACTAATAATATATATATATATATATATATATATATATATATATATATAT